TTAAATATTTCTTTGACCGAGTAATGTATGCCATTTGCCGAGCATCAATAGTCGATCTTCTTTGCAGTCCATGCAAGTTAATTTTTCTCTCATTTAGTTTATTTCAATTTGAACACTACATGCAATGTAATGGCAGCCGTTTTTAGTCGGCTTTTTTTAGTGTGTTTTGTTAAATAAATGGTTCGCCGGACCGACTGCACATACGTGGCCGCACCTGGCATGAACCTTACGTTATGTAAGTGTGTGTTGTACATTGTCGGATGTGACGAGTATAGTAAAGACCATACGCTGCTGATATTGGGAATATTCCAGTTTGAAAGGAGGTGGAACAAACGGTATCAAATAGACTCAATGCGAAAAACTGGGCCATGAACAAATCGCAGTATCTTGTAGGTTTGGATATATGTGATTTTGACACCGCGGATCACAAATGGTAATCACCATAATTGAATAATTCGAATATTTGAACTATAATTGATTTACACACGTTCAACCTACTCCCAGGCAGTAAACGAACCGTTTGACGTAGCCACTCATCGCGGGTAAATTCGAAAACATACAGACCCGCTGAAAAACACGCATGTTTGGATACATTGCAACAATTCATTGCACATGTTTATATTTAGACTGCTGATGAGTACGGTCACTAGATTGTGTTGCCAGCAGAATTTGAGATAAAATGTACAAACATCCTATCCTGTCTTTCCCTGTGGCATAATGGTATGTCTCGGACAGTTACTTGCTGATTGTGAAATACCTTGGAATGTGCTGAGCCCAGTATTGTTGGCAATAAAGATAAATATCACATCATTGACCTGAGTCTCGTATTTTTAAATTGGTAGAGCTTGGATAAAAAGTAGTTTACCCCACTGCCAAACTTGGCATCCTTGATACACATTGATTTGTCCGCTCTGTCGAGATATTTCGTTGAAACATTTCATTGTTTGCATGGCCATAATTCCGTTGTACTATTTAAGTTGAAACGTGTGTGAAAACCTTTAGTCAGGAAAGTGACCTGACTTGATCCTGTAATATCCTATGATGCTGATTCCTGACTCCAGCGCGCTGTACCCTATACTGAGGAACATAGGCAGGCGTGCTCCGCAGTAATCCTGCTGATCAACGGGAACCACTGAAGCTCTACCTTTGTAGATGGCAGTACAGTCGCCGATACTCCCCGGACACTGCGCACGACTTTAATTTGTAGAGCGGCTGCTTTGACAGTGTGCCAGAAACGAAGGAACGCAACATTGTACATTTTTGTTCACCGAAGAGTGGAGTGTTCCCTGCAACATTGAACAAGTTCCTGGTTTTATTTGTTCAGTGTTATATCCCCATTTCTTGCTGGTTCAATTGACTTGCACTCCTACTATTTGAAGGAAACCTTATACATGTATATTGTGTTGTTTTTATTTATTGAATTTGTTACAGGTATATTTCCTTCCCTGTGTTTTTCGTTCGTTACAGAATCTACCATTGGTAATCACGGTGCTGCCCTGGAAGAAGATGGCCAATCTTCGACGTCGTACGTGCATGATACTGGCCCAACTTTCTTCGAAGACATCCAAAGTATTGTACATACATTGCCAGTTAAATACGCTGAACCGTTGATCTCAGAGGTTAGTGAGCGATTCCAGTTGACAAATCCCTCCCACGATACTCGTGAGCAAACATGTGTGAGGATTTTATTCACATTGTACCAGTCACCCAAATGTAAAATAAAATAAAAACTGTAACTGTTGCATTATCTAGTTATTATGCCTGTGTTACACATGACATTTGTCAATGATAACAAGTTTTGATAATTAGCGCTGTTTTCGTGATTGCGTCGAGATGGGGACATTTGTTTCTGATTGATGCGATTGAGATACCCGCGTGGCCGGGGATGTATAGCGTCACACGTTAAAGAGCCAACGATGGCGAGAAACTATAACAGTCACGGTGTATAGCTGAGAAAACAACCTTGAGAGTCACCCCAGTGCACCGGTAATTATTACAACTCGTATTTAGTGATGTTATGAATTTACTTGTTGGACAATATTGAAGTAAATTTATATCGACTACAATCGCTCAGCGGGCAATCTATTACAATAGCCACCCAGCGTGTTTTTATATGATTACGTAGCCACTACGTAACTACTACGTGACAATTTCGGGCTTGTTCGGGAGAGATCGGGAGGAAAGACAAAAACAAAACGAAAGTGGAGACGCGTTGGTTAACGTAAATTTCTACTGGACGGCGATTTTCCTGCCAGATATTACTGGTAGATGGTATCGTCAAAGTAAATCCGTTGCGGGATTGGACTTCTGGACACTCGAAACTGGTGCGAAACTATAATTGAGTGAAACAAGATATCTGAGAGCAAGAGGAAACGAGAGGACAGGTAGACGAACGTGAAGATAACGGTTTCAAAGACAAACAGATTTGCACGCTGTACAGGACAAGGACGCTAGGTGAAGACCGGGATCAGAAGTAATTCCTGTCAGCTTGAGTTTTTAGGCGCCAGCTTGCTTAGGTGAGACCCTTACCCCGTTTGAGAGAGATACGTATGAGATACAAGTCTTAGAAGTATTTGGGACAGCCAATTTCTAAACTTGCTAGCGAATTGGCTAACTGTTTGGATTTTGACAAAACATTTTGAATTTTCAAGGTGAATGTTCCGGCAAAGCACTCACTTTCACCTTGAAGTATTTCGTGTATGTGACAGTGCCCTCACAGTTTAGAATCAGTTTATCAACAGCCAATCAAATTGCTTCTTTCATCAACGCGCACAGTACGAGTCAATCTCCCTGGCAGCTGTGGGTCGGCGTCTTCTACACCGATCTGACCAATCTCCCTTCTTTGCGTTTAATTACCTCTGCACAGGCGATCTTCAGTTTTGTGGTCAATCATCTCAGTACGCACGACCATTTTCCCGTAGTTGTTACATCTGAAAACGTACTACAAAAAGTGGGAAAAAACGTATGTGACAGTAAAAACGTAAATACGAACCTTTATATCGTGGACTATGTTTTGCAAGGCAATGTTGTTGTAGTAAAATGGCACACGTGATACACTAAAACTGGGAAGAAAAAACATTTCACTGAAAGGGGTTTCCTAACATTTCCCTTCATCTTGTATTTTGGTGGATATTTCAATACTGTTTCTGTTTCCGCGTCTAACAGCCTTAGAACGCAAAGGTTCTAATAAGTTTATAAAGTTAGTTATTCATTGTACATTAATCTAATGTTTTGGCATCTAGGAAAAGATTGCACTTTTCTAACGCAAGTTATGTATATTTTAATCTCAATAACTGAAAATTTTATTCAGAGTTATGGTGTGAAGCATTTTATTAAATTGATTAAAATAACCAAGTGACTTGCGCATAACTTTGTTAACCAACAGGGTCTTGTAGTTCGAGCACCTTCAAATATGCAAATGAGTTCTCTGCAAATCTGCTTTGTGCAGTGATAAGTAACACACATCAAACCGTGCGGAGTTCGCGATCTGATTAGCTGGTCCCCGCCTCTACGCGCAAGCTCAAAGAGGCAGGTAATGGGAATACGCCATTAATAAATTATGAAATCTGATTGGTCGGGACATGGATTCTTCTAATTGGCTATTCAATAGTACTTCTGGCACTTGTTCAAACATGGTGGCAAATTTCAATCTGATGTTGTCGACGAAAATTGCCCTATCAAAACAAAGACAAAACCTAAAAAAAAAATATTAAGTTAAGAATTTTGTAGGGATAAATGAAAAATACCGTTCAAGTATCCAGTTACATAAGTCAGACAGTTTTTCAGACATTTTCCAATATTTTTTTGTTTCATTGTCAATAGAACTGAAATATTTCCCCTAGATGAATGTGCACTTATTTCATTTTAGTTTTAAAGGTAATTTTATAATCACTTCCCTACATTTGAATTGGGTTATATATAGAGTAGTAAGAATAAATAAGAAATATTACCGTTCCCACAGATAATTCACTTATAAATGCTTTCCACCAGGGGGAAGAGGAGAGTGTGGGTCAACAAGGTAAATTGGCCATTGGAGTCCCATAGTGGGGATTTAGACAACATTGGCATTCCTGTACATATAGCAACATTTGACGTCAAAGATTGCTACAGACCTGTCATCAGTTTACGCCCATTTTTGGTTATCAACATGTTGCCAGGGCTCATCCCAGTGCTTGAAATGAACGTTTAATTTTGGTAGCTAAGTGGACCATAATTTCATGAATCCGGTAGCCATGTGTTGTTTGGGAGTCAACTTTCGTTAAATTGAATGTACCAAATATTCATTAAAAATGTTTGTGTTAGAACAGACAGATCAAAATAAAAAAATGCACTTGGACATAAATTCCGACTTTTTGTGAATGACCTTATATCAATGTACATGCCTTTCTATTAGCCAAACAAATTGATTAATTGTTTGTCATTATGCATCAGTTAATGTTAACCACATTGGTGCCACCAAACCAACCAGACAACTACTGTACCTCCACCCTTGTTATATAGCCGTTGAATATCCCTGAGAAAAAAGTCACCCTATCCCCGTGAAAAACATAGCGAGATGTACTTATGGAACAGTAAACCCCGATAAAATATGAAAATATAGTCTTTCTATCATGGCTTTCTGAATTAGTTCATCAATTATTCAAATAAAAAAAAACACGCATGTCAGCGTACTTCTCGGTATAACTTATCAATTTTCAACATATTCACCCTAAAACACTGTTATGTTTGTGTAACACTCAAGATTCATAACTGTTTACATTATAATAAAAATCGTGAATATCGAACTTACCCGCCGCAACTCTGTCGTCTGACTATTGACGGCCATGATGTTTGCCACGCATGCGCATGAGCTCAATCCCATACTGCAACGTTATGGAGTTGCAACTTGATGGAAGTCGGAACTCAGAAGTAGGAAGTGGGAACTGTGAAGTTGGAAGTGGGAACTCAGAAGTGGGAACTGTGAAGTTAGAACTAGGAAGTCCCCTCTCGGCTTTCGTAGATTTCTCTACTTTTACCATGCAAAATTCCAAATAGACTGGAGTCAAACAAACAAATAAATTTATTTGTTGAATTTTATTTTTCCCTGTTTATGTTACAAATCGCAGGTGTGACACTTTTCAACCCACAGAGTGACTACAATGTAATTGTTCTTCACTGCCAGTCTTGTGATTTATTATTTCCTATATTATACATACCTGGTACATGTATGTAATACTTATTTAATACCGGTACATGGACCGAGTGCCTAATTATGAAATTGGAGAAATTATCTTCACTATTGAAACAATAATTCGTATATCACTTGTTTTGCTGAAGAATAATTAATTAATCTTTAAGTCAATGTATCATGTGACTTTCCTGTAGTTTTCCAGTAGATATAACTTACATATTGTGACCTCAAAAGTTGACCTGCTTGGAATGTTGAACTCTTGTGAGCCCAACCAGTATGTTTCCCTATGTTGATTAAATTAATATTAAGTTACTTACTTACACATATAACATCAGACATATTCTCTTTCCTGTTGTCCGATGTACTAGTATATCCTCATGGAGGCAAATGATTCAATGGTTTTTACCAATAGTGGCACAAATGGCATGTTTCCGGAAAAAATATGTATAAATATTTCGTCTGTTATGGTTTGTATCAGATATAGCAAGCCCAAATAATCTTTTGAATATTATGGGTAATTTTGGTAAATGAGGATTTTAGTGTTAATCATGTTTGTTGCCATAACGATTGAAAAACATTCTGTCAATTTTAATATCATATTAAAACAGTTATTTCCATGACTGCTGTTACTGTAGATCTGTCAACTATGCAATCAAAGCACGTAAACAGTCATTATTAAAGTAAAAATCAGGATATGTCAAATAGCGATTGGAATATAATGTTAAGTTTAATAAAACACATTGAGATTGTATTGTACAATGTGTGATGTCATCTTTCCTGATTTATATATTAAAAACATGCGGCACATAAATTAAAACATTATTGTGAAAAACCTGGACTGGAACTTCAAGAACAAAAGTACAAAGTTTGCAGAAATACAAAATATTTCATAATCTGGTTTCCGTGCGTTTGCCGAAGTTGACAAGCCAATAAACCAACAATCCCATAAGGCCAGGTATCAATGATGGTATCTAGCATAGACTGTCATGAAAAGTAATAGCTTTACAATTTCTCCATGCATATTTAAAGAGCAATTTACGTGATATATTTTGAGAGGCCTATATTCGTTCCACAATCAATAATTTGCATATACCGATATGATGGGTGTTAACACGTCCACTTCGTTGATCATGGTGTGGGTGATGTGGCGTCACAGCTTTTGGAGATGTAGAAGAATATAATAGAAAAACGCTTTATATGCAGAAGAAAACTATTTAAAAATGTTGCTATTGTCGCGTTTTCGCTATTTAGACTATTAAAAGCACCGTTTTACTGCTTTCGTTTGTGAGAATGACCTGTGATTTGCATGAGACGTTCGTAACACCGTGTGACAGTTTATTCCAGATTTGTCACTCAACTGTGTGAAGTACAATCTCAGATGCCATAGTTATTGTACATATCATTTATTGGGAATAACTTTGAGACAGTAGATGAAATACCATGAGCTGAACTGACTAGGTTGTTAGGTCAGTCTTGGTGCCACGATAAGAATCATCACCTGTACGGGAGATGAATTGTGCTAATCACACTAAAAGACACATGCCAAGTTCATGATAATGTGAATAAGTATGTGCCATATGAAACAAAGTAGAAATAGAAGATTCCAGTCATTAGCTAAAATGTACTAACATTACATTAATTTGTTTCATCAAAAGGAATTGGTCACCGACATGAAACGAGTTAACATGTACCCCGTAAGTATCCGATTCTATGAAGATCTTATCATGAACGCCGGGTTTGCAAGAGATGTTTATTGCCAGGGTTTGCAAGAGATGTTTATTAACTGGGGATTGTAAGTAATGTTCATTGGCCAGGGTTTGCAAGAGATGTTTATTGCCCAGGGTTTGCAAGAGATGTTTATTGGCCAGGGTTTGCAAGAGATGTTCATTGGCCAGGGTTTGCAAGAGATGTTCATTGGCCAGGGTTTGCAAGAGATGTTTATTGGCCATGGTGTGCAAGAGATGTTCATTGGCCAGGGTTTGCAAGAGATGTTCATTGGCCAGGGTTTGCAAGAGATGTTTATTGGCCATGGTGTGCAAGAGATGTTCATTGGCCAGGGTTTGCAAGAGATGTTCATTGGCCAGGGTTTGCAAGAGATGTTCATTGCCCAGGGTTTGCAAGAGATGTTTATTAACTGGGGATTGTAAGTAATGTTCATTGGCCAGGGTGTGCAAGAGATGTTCATTGGCCAGGGTTTGCAAGAGATGTTCATTGGCCAGGGTTTGCAAGAGATGTTCATTGGCCAGGGTTTGCAAGAGATGTTCATTGCCCAGGGTTTGCAAGAGATGTTTATTAACTGGGGATTGTAAGTAATGTTCATTGGCCAGGGTTTGCAAGAGATGTTTATTGCCCAGGGTTTGCAAGAGATGTTTATTGGCCATGGTGTGCAAGAGATGTTTATTAACTGGGGATTGTAAGTAATGTTCATTGGCCAGGGTTTGCAAGAGATGTTCATTGGCCAGGGTTTGCAAGAGATGTTTATTAACTGGGGATTGTAAGTAATGTTCATTGGCCAGGGTTTGCAAGAGATGTTCATTGGCCAGGGTTTGCAAGAGATGTTCATTGCCCAGGGTTTGCAAGAGATGTTTATTAACTGGGGATTGTAAGTAATGTTCATTGGCCAGGGTGTGCAAGAGATGTTCATTGGCCAGGGTTTGCAAGAGATGTTCATTGGCCAGGGTTTGCAAGAGATGTTCATTGGCCAGGGTTTGCAAGAGATGTTCATTGCCCAGGGTTTGCAAGAGATGTTTATTAACTGGGGATTGTAAGTAATGTTCATTGGCCAGGGTTTGCAAGAGATGTTTATTGCCCAGGGTTTGCAAGAGATGTTTATTGCCCAGGGTTTGCAAGAGATGTTTATTGCCCAGGGTTTGCAAGAGATGTTCATTGGCCATGGTGTGCAAGAAATGTTTATTGCCCAGGGTTTGCAAGAGATGTTTATTGGCCAGGGTTTGCAAGAGATGTTCATTGGCCATGGTGTGCAAGAAATGTTTATTGCCCAGGGTTTGCAAGAGATGTTTATTGGCCAGGGTTTGCAAGAGATGTTCATTGGCCAGGGTGTGCAGGAAGTGTTCATTCGCCGGGGTGTGCAAGAGATGTTCATTGGTCAGGGTGTGCAAGAGATGTTCATTGGCCAGGGTGTGCAAGAAATGTTCATTGGTCAGGGTGTGCAAGAGATGTTCATTGGCCAGGGTGTGCAAGAAATGTTCATTCGCCGGGGTTTGCAAGAGATGTTTAATGCCAATGTAAATTCCTAGTGATGAGTATGTAATAATTTACCATTCATTCTCCCCACAGGCCAAAAGAAGTACACCTTACTCGCCAGAACCAGCCAACAAGATAAATAATAGTGGAATATTCAAGAAAACTAAAATAGATGATACTGAGATAAAAGTAAATTATCAGCCAACCCCCCCCCCCCCCCCAGACATCAGACTGGAAGCTTGACGTGTTCATCCAATGTGGACGAGCGTTCGATCGCAACCATCCATTCATCACCGACCGCCAGACAAACCATCAACAGAATTGAACCCCACAATTCACATAGCAATCCACCACACAAGGAGTTAAAAGAGAACCAACAGATGTCAGAAAGTTGGATATGTTCATTCAATAACACCAATTCAACAACTCTTCTAACCATCATCATCTAACGAACAAACCATCAAAAAGATTACACCTCAGTCACCAGAATTAGGACCAGCCAACAAGGTAGATTGTAATCAACTACTCAAAGAAAATAATGACAAGGAGATGACAGCAAGTTGGATGCAATCATTCAACATACACAAGGACACAACACCAACAACTTTGCCCACAGCTTTTGGGGAAATCATCGAAAATACTACACTCCACTCATCACTCGATGAGAAAATGATAGAAAGTTGGTTACGTCAAATCACGCAGTTGTCACCAGTCAAAAGAACTCCACACTACTCACCAGGAATAGGACAAGCCAACAAAATACATGGTAGCCGACTGCACAAGGCAAAAGATGATGGCAAAGAGATGACAGAAAATCAACAGCCACACTCGAATTCAAGTCAACAGACTGGAAACTTGACATGTCAAATTAAGGTTTGCAAAGATGCCACTCCACCCACACAGCAATCATTCTCAGCCACAGCCCGTTCATTCGGACGAACCATCGATATCAACACAACCTCACCACATCGAAAGAATTTTTCAGTCACAACATTGTGTACCGGGAGCTCAAAAAATGGCCGCCAGGTAGATAACATACCAGGTATAGTTGACTGTGGTGAAAAAATCCCTCAAGTGACGTTGCCACCCACAAAACAACTTCTACCTGACAAAATTTGTGGCGAAGAGATCCCTCAAGTGGTGTTGCCGCCTACAAAGCAACTACTACCTGATGACACTTACACATTTGTGGTGTTTAATTATAAAACCACTCTAGCAAATATAAATTGTAGGACTGGGAGGAAAACAAATGTATCCTCGGGGGCAGAGCTACGTCACAAGACGTTCCACGTTGCTAAGACGCGCACCACTGTACCATGCATTTCTATGAGCTCTGTGCGCGCTGCTGTGGAACGCCGGTGGAGCCGGTGAAAATTCGAGAAAACAACACAAACTCAACTTTGAAGTAATCCTGAACAACCAAATTTATATATGTTACACACGTAGGGCTAATCTTGTTACACTGTTCAGGGGAGTCTCAACAACCATTCCAAAGTACCGTTTTCTGAGAGTTTTCGGCCTTTGTTTACACCGCGATGGTTGCCAGGTGGTGTAAAATGCCTGGATGTTCGCCCTGAAGATTGCCATGAAAACCTACAAAACTGACCCGTAGTTTTAATTTTTTAATGTATCAGAGAAAATATTTCATACAAAACACAAATAGGTAATTCATGTACTAACATGTTGATGCATCTGTGTTTTGCCAACGTACAAGAATATGAGCGATACATCTTTCCTATATATTGCGCCCTCTAGTGACAGAGTGCAGTCATTGTTCAATAAAGATTATGTAATAGCGAATGACTACATGACTGAGCAGTGATCGATTTAAAACTTTGATTTGAAAAATTTGGATGTCACAACATGATGGTGCGATTTATAATACTAGTGTATTTCCAAGATATTTTTTTAACTGATTGCTAGATTTCAGAGTCCAGAGTCCAATCATAAGCTTCTTATAGCAGTAATACCAACTTTTTGGCTCGTATCTATTATTTTAATAGTCCAGTAACCTTGGAAACCGAATGGTTAACCCAGCATTTACTTGGAAAGTTGGTTCCAAACAGCACCAGTTTACTGCAAGAGTACTGTTTTCATAACCAGGCCGTTCTCGCATGGTTTAAGTGGAGAGCGTTTACCCCTCACTGTTTATAAATGGTACATTTGTTTGAATAGCGATACCCTGGATTCAAAATAACAATTTTCAGATCAATGAGCTGTGCGAGTGCATGGCCTCTACTGAATGGCTCATTGTCCTTCTATACAAAGGGAGTTACTTAACACGCAAAAGGGCTGCAGGAAAACCATCTAAAACTTTGGGTTCAACCTCAAACAACTGATGTTAGTGACATCATAGATAAATCGACTTAATATGTTATTTTATTTTTGGTTTTAGATGGGAATGCAGACATATGTCAGCGGTGTTTAATGACAAGGAATTTGACGAGTATGTGCTGCCAAGTAAGCCAATCTCTTACGGAGCTCAGGTGATTAACGATAGAAGACGAGAAACTGTGTTACAAAGGGAACCCAGTCCACACAATCCCACTGCATGAATGTTTACAGAACTTTCTCGTGTATCTGAGCAATTTCCCAAACCTGGTTCTCGTAGCACACAACTGTGGTAATTTTGACAGCAGGTGTCTGATCACTGCCTTGGAAAAGTGTTCTCTTATTAATGACTTTCTAAGACATGTTTGTGGTTTTGTCGATACTCTTCCATTGTTTACATCTAAATATCCCAACTTACCAAACGATCTTGAATGGTTAGTGGGACGTTTTATTGGTGATGACGACAATAGACACAATGGTATTGCAAATGCGAGGGCGCTCCAAAAGCTATTGACTACATGCAAGATTGAAACGAATACTATTATGCAACATAGCTTCACGTTCGAATGGATCCTTAAACAAATGGAGTACTGCAAACAAAGATCAGTTAACGAAAAAACATTATATAAACTTGTTAATATAAAAGTCTTAAGTTTTGGAATGGCCAAGAAAATTGCTGGTTCGGGTTTGGCTTATCATCACTTAGAGTTAGCTTATAACAGAGGTGGATTTGATGGTCTGCGAGAGCTTTTTCTTGACCAGTCAAGTGGCAAAGCAAGGGTCACTAAGAGTAAAAGAATATTAGAAAATGTGTATAATCATTTTAACACAGAAAATTCCCAACAGAATTGCAGTGGAATGCAAAATTTGGAAAATAATGCATGCATACCAACAATAGAAGTACCGGTATTATTTGTTTTGGTCGCAAAACATTTTAACTTTCACAAAAAAAAGAAAACACTTTTTATTCCTTAAATGTATTACATGTATCTTACAAAGATTTGGTAGGTACTTTATAACTTTCAGAAAACAAGCACAAAATAACAAATAAATAGATTATTGAGTACATGTATATAACAAGCATTCCAGTTTTTGTATCAAAAGCACATGAATTAACATACAATAACATACAAAGAACTATAAATACTCTGAAAGTATTTATTCTTACTGGCATTTAATTTCACTATTTTGAACATACATGCATTTAAATTTGTCAGTGAAACAATGACATTTACAAGTTCATATGAATTTAGTGGATTTTACACATCAGCGAAAATAGATGCGTTTACAGTAGTTTCTATTTATTCTGTTTTACTACATGTATACGACTTTTTGTCTGAGTATCATCTGTCGCGGAGAACTTTATTTTATCTACGAGTTTTCAATTCAAGATGTTTTCACCTCATACACCACACACTTCAATGATACAAATTCAAACAGCGATTGTGTTCTGTATACTGTAAAATGACTAATTTTCACTGGGTTTAAATTTCACTGATTTACCATTTCAGGCATATTCAGTGGGTTTTAAATTCACGGTTTCGTCATTTAGATAATGTGTTCTATGCTAAATTTTACATATTCACTGTGTTTTAATTTAGCGCATTTTTCCAGTCAGCGAAATAAGCTAAATTAAAACCCAGTGAATAATTACCCCCTTTACAGTAGTTGACTATAAAGATTGAATGTGTTGCAGAACTGGTTTAATTCATGCGTCTAGGGAAATCAAATTTCTGTAGAAAGTCATGCAGAGCTACTCCTTAAAACAGGAATCGCGCGACTTTTATGAAACTTCGTCTGCTGAACACCCTTTAATATTCAAATTGCAAACAATTTAGAAGTACCGGTAATTTGTATTGGGATTAAACTTGTACCTTATTTTTGTTTATTTTATATATTTTTGTTAGAATCCTACAGCACACACTGCATCACTTTGTGGAGCCAGGATATCAGTGACATTCAGATTTTTGCAGATCACTTTTTACACTTCAAATCTGGACTAAAAACAAACAAACTTGCGTTTAATTAAATTGATAAAAGAGACTAGGCTATACACGATCACTTAAATAATACAAGGTGCATGAAAGGAAGAGCTAATATTTTACTATACAAACTTTTACTACACTATAAAATAACAAAATCAACTGCTGTTATATTGCACTATGGACTGTGTATTAATTTTGGGATATGCATTAAAACAGATGAGCATTATCAGAGGCTTTCAGCAAAATTAAGTTACATTTTGAAAAGTTTGACGATGGTCTTTGAACAATAATGTGAAATATTTACAGTTTGCCAGTGATTTTGAATTTTGTTCAGACGCGCATGAATTCACAAAGATTCACTAGTTACTATGGCTTGTAATATGCTGGAATTTTCAAATATTTCCCATAATTCATGCATGCCACATAAGTCCCTAAACCTCAATAAATTATAATCAAAGAAAGCTTAGAAAGAACTCCCATGTGCTGAGACTATTGGAGACACATTAAATATAATTCAAAATTACTTGTCAGAGATAGTGATAGTAAAACTGAAAACTAATAATGCAAATCAGAAAATTAATATGAACAGATTTTAATGGAAAACTAATGAGGTCTGCGCATTGTAACAGACCATCTATGTACCAAGTTTTATTGAAATGTGATTGGAACCAAAAAAAAATTATAAATTATTATGCTAATTAGGGAATTAATATGAACAGATTTTAACCCCAAACTAATCAGGTTTGTACATTGTCCTAGAGCATCTTTGCACTAAGTTTCATTGAAATGGAATAATTAGTACTTTAGATATCAGTGTGATAGCTTAAAAGTGGTTAATTATGTAAATTAGTAATTAATATGTACAGATTTTAACCCACAATTATCCAGGTCTGTCTATTGTCCTACAGCATCCATGTACAAAGTTTCATTGAAATGTGATGATTAGTACTTGAGAAATCAGTGTGAAAGCTGAAAATTAATTAATATACACAATTATTTACCCTAAAACTAATCAGGTCTCTGGATAGTCCTAAAGGATCTATGTACCAAGATTCATTGCAATGTGATAATCAGTACTTGAGATATCTGTGTAAAAGCTGAAAATTAGCTAATTATGCAAATTAGGTAATTAATATGCACAAATATCTCAAAACAATCAATCTCTGCATAGTCCTTGAGTATCTATGTACCAAGTTTCATTGAAATGTAATGCTTACTACTTGAAACATCAAAAACTGAAGTATGCAAATTAGGTAATTAATATGCACTGACATTACCCTAAAAACTATCAGGTCTGTGCAGTGTCCTATGACATATATATCATCTATACTTGAGATATCAGTGGAAAAACCGAAAATTGACTAATCATTATGCAAATTAGGTAATAAGTAATTAGGTAATTTTTACCAAAAACTAATCAAAACCAAGCATTAGTTCAGAGCATCCATGTACCAAGTTTCATCAAAATCCAATAAGTGGTTCAATGGAACAGTCATGGAACAGCTAAAAATTAGCTTATTATCATGCAAATTAGGTAATTAATATGCATGAAATTTCACCAAAACCTAATCAAATCTGCGCATTAGCCCAGAGCATCTATGCACCAAGTTTCATCAAAAACTGATGTATGGTTCTTGAGATATCAGTGGAACAGACGGACGAACACACACACACTAACCGCAAAGACTCCCATTTTGTGCTTCGCACATGGGAGTCAAAAATGCTCTCAAAAAGCAACTTTAAATACTCACTACTGGAGGCTGCTAGATATACGAGTTGCTGATGCAAAAATGTGGCTAACATATGGCCGTGGTTAGAACGGACACTAAAATAAGTTAACTCCTGAGATTATTAGAACCAAACCCTTCCACTTAATGGGGGAAATCCACTGATATTTAAAATAACATTGACAGCGCAGTGTTCATAGACTTCTTGCATTTATTCAAACTTCTTCTTTAGTTTCTGTTTAAATAACACAGGTACCAAAGACAGTGCAGCCAACACAGCAAGAATAATGACTGATTTCCATGACACTGCATCGCTGGCTGTCATCAATTGATGTAATGTTGTACCAGCTTGTATTGCTACAAATGATGGGGGAGCCACACCTACAGTAAATAGAAAGACAAACAAGTTTATTAGTGTACTTGAGATATTAACTGAATGGAAAAATACAGAGCAAAACTTTCCCAACTCAAGGTGTGTTTATGAAGTACTGTAAAATCTGTATTAGAAGCCGCGGCTTCTATTAAAATGGTACAATGCAACAGAGGGGATGCGGCTTCTATTAAAATGGTACAATGCAACAGAGGGGATGCGGCTTCTATTAAAATGGTACAATGCAACAGAGGGGATGCGGCTTCTATTAAAATGGTTAAGTATAAATTATATTTGTATGAAATAAAAAAAAAAATACAGACGGAAATTTGTGAAAGTCTTTGAAAAGTACCATCTATCAGGGCAGCAATCATCGCAAAAATCATCATTTCATTCTGTCATTGTATGTGTTGTGAGTTGCATTGATCATGGAACATCCAATGAACAGACTGACATGAACTAACAGCAGTAATGACTACCACTGGAGAAGGTTTGGTGAAAACTATTGAATGTAAAACAAGTCATTGAAAATGACACAGTCCCCGTTAAGTTCTCTTTGTGCTCGTCATATTAAAGCGGAGGGGTTGTCGCGAGCGTGTCCTTGAAACTTGAGTTCCAAGTGGCGTATACAACAGATTGTTTATTTACATCAAAACACGTGTTTCGTGTCATAGTAATATGGCCTAAATAAAAACAGCCGTTATTCAGCCATCTTTGATCTGATTATGAAACACACTGATATGTATGATGTATGTGCCAAATACGAATGAAAATGGTACATAAATTGTGGAAATATAGTAGTAAGGCCAAAAAGTCAGATGGCTGTCAATCGGCCATCCTTGACCAGATTTTGAAACAAATTGTCATGGATATGCATCCTAACATGTATAAAGTACATGTATGTGCCAAATTTGAATGAAAACTGACAGCACGTCCAAGATACCGCATAAAAAAACAAAAACAAGATGCCTGCCAGTCAGCCATCTTTGATCCAATTGTGAAATAAATCATCATGGACATGTATCCTAACATGTATAATCTATGTACCAAGTTTGAATGAAAACTGACAAAGCATGTCCAAAATACAACATTTTGAATCGAATCGCTAAACCACTGCATGTACTAGGCACATGCAAAGAATGAACGGAATCGGTCCAAGGGACTCTGAGATATGACTCCGGACGGACGCACGGACGGAGACCGAATTATAAGTCCCCATTTTCGGACTTCGTTCGAACGGGGACTAATAACTAAACTCACTTCAAACAAATAATAGTACTTACCAAGAAATGTGCCAAAGAAAAATGGACTAAGTGGTACATTTATAACAGGTGATGTAATATTAATAAACCAGTTTGGTAAAAATGGAGTTATCCTTAAAAATATGATATAATTTAATAAATGATCTCGATGTCTCCCCACCTGAAATAATTATAATATTGAACATAAGTTAATGTCAATGTGGTTGTAAGAAATTAACACAATGGATGAAATAAACTATAATTTCCACTTTCAGACAATCATAAAGTGCACATAAAATGTTTTTAAAAAGGAAGGTTCCTGCTTTCTTTGGAATTATCGTATGCTGAAACAACCACAAAACATTTTCGAAATTAATGTTATACAAACATTATACCGGTAAGATGGTTAGTCTGAATCTAGCAAACTGATTGGCTGAAACAAAGTTTTATATCTGGTACTGAAACTAAATAAAGTAGCTCAAATATCTAACTGAATCATAATTGCATGACTGTGGGCAATGTTTACAGTGATTGTGGGTGTAAGATCAAAATAGGGAAACTTGGTATAAGTACTTATACGAAATAACATCTATTTGGTAAATCAGCATAAATGCAAGGACAACTAAAATTATTGTGTGTTTTTATTTTATTTGCTTTGTATTTTTTATGTTCTGGAGATATAACCCATTGCAACTTTTAAGAGTTGATTTTATGGAAACATGTAAAAGTCAGAGGGTCACTAACGACATTATCAAATGAACAGCATTGATATCATACTTTATAAATATGCAAGTATCTGATCTACAAGGACTGTTATTCTGTGAAAAAAGGGGTAGACTGTCTCCCAGAAACTGACAATTTCATGAACAGTGAATGGTAACAAAATCTACAAGATATCCTGCAACCAATTTATTCAAGATCCTATAATATGAGAAACATCTTCAACTTAGTACGCAAATTAAATGCATTGTCTTTAGTGTGTCACTAATTCAGTCTGGTTATGTAAATGTATGATAGAATGTTTACTTGTAACTAAAGCTTCGAAAATATTAAAACTTAAATTTCGTACCAAACGCAACATGCACAGTAAAGTGATAAGTAAAGAGTTCACCAAGGCCCCTCACTCCTAACTCCTTAATGTAATTGTGTATGCCCCTCAAGATAAATATACTGTAGAATACTTTATTTTCGCTTGGAATTTATTTTCGCTAGGGATGATTACATGAAAATAAAATCCAGCGAATGTACTTTTTTTCCTATATTTCACATTAAACTCATAAAACAAATAGTGAAAATAAATTCCATACAAAACGCCCAAAAAGCCTTTTCAGCGAAAATTAATTCCAGCGAAAATAAAGTATTCCACAGTACATGTCTTGAAGAGGGGTATAAATAATTTAAATGGAGGGGAAAGGTCGGGATTTGAGTTATGGGTGAGAGGGCCCTAAGAAGCTCTCAACAATTAAGACGCAATATAACAAACAAAATTGGTTTTTAAAATTTATTTTGGTCTTGTTTTCCTGGTTTACCATTTATCATCACACACACACGATCAATTCTGAAGTTGATGCTAGTTAGATGATAAGACAGTTGTTGCAGTTTGGCAATTTAGCAACAGCGCCCTCAACATCAAGTATGTTACCAGGCAAAATTGTATTTCTGCTAATTACACAAAAATAAAATCACATAAACAGTTATAATAGTATAATTTTTTGCTTCATGGGCAATATACCATCTTCCAACTATACATACATACATACATACATACATATACAGGCAAAGCTCTGAAGTTTGTTGCTTACATATGCTTGTTTTTATTTTTTTATGGAAAATTAATATGTGGTCTCAGACTTAGAGTGGAGATCTGCACGCTATAAACACTATACACCCATATTATGCAACTTAGTTGTAGCATGGTTTGACAATATGTGCAATACTTACAGTAGCTGCCCATTCCGCTACTTTCTCAGGGATGTATTTTTGTACAAGATTTCTACCAGCTAAATAAAATAAAAGGTAACAGTTGGTAGCACCAATAGCTGAGCACTGTCAAATAAAAATGAAAATAAAATTACATTTAAAGAAAGGAAAGTTGATGTCCATTACGAATAGGCGATTCTTCATTCACTACAAGACCTTGCTGATTGTGTGAATGGTACGGACTGAATGCCTGCTGCAAAAATCGGATGATTTGATTTTGAATCTTCTAGAGGGGAGTATTGCGTTAAGTATAACCGGGAAGGTCGTCACCTGCGGACGTGCACGAATTGAGTCCCAAGCGACGATAAAAACACATGCTAAAATGCAAAGGCTCATGGATAGATGCTTGTTTGTAAACAATGACACGCTATGGCCATTTGATGCATGCACAGGTGACGACTCCCCTGCTTCAAGATATCTTTTATCATCAAAACTGACTATCATCAAATGTGTATAGTACATTAATAAGCGTGGACACAGTCTCTCAACAACTTGTTGAGGGACTGTGTTCCAAAATACATTGTACATGTACTTTTGTGTTTGTCAAATTCCATGTGCTGTTTTGTCATCACTACAACGCATAATGCAGGATCTTGTGGTGAACGAAAAATGGTCTATTATTTAATATTTCTATAAATATTTAATGTCCAAATGTAGGAATGTTCAATGAGCAATTAGTTAACAATTAACAACATTTTGTCATATGCCACATAACTATTTTGAGATAATGAATCCAATTATGAAAATTATATTATTTATACAACAGTTTCTATAGTGATAAAACAATCTGATTGGCAGGAATACCTTCATTTTTTTCAATTTACAACCATTATTTTTTTGGTCAAAAAATGGCATGACACCTGTTGTAAGTAGGAATGATGACACAACACTGAAACCGAGGTGGTGTTGCGATGTGCTAAACAAGCCCTTGAATACAACGTATGTAAAATATTTGTCTTGTTTACATGTGAACATGTAAATGAATACACACAGAATAATCGCATGTTTACTTTATTATCAGGAAATACAAAACTTTGACTTACCAAACAGACAAGAAATAAAGCTAAAGGAAATGGGAACAAAAAGCCTGACAAAATACTAAGAAATATAGAGCCAGGAATGGCAAACGTCTGTAAGCTGAGAAAGACCATCAAGGAAAACACGTTGTTATGATTACAAATAGACTTGCTAAATATTTTGGTAATTTTATGCCGAATGATGACAACAATTTATCTTGGCACTTAAAGGGTTTAAAGTTTCTTAGTGTCTGAATTTAAATGAAAATTTTATATTAAAACAAGCAGCCTCTCGGCTGAGATAGCTCCGCTGTTAGCAAGGCACATTTCAATTAAAGAACAGAAGATATCATTAGAATATAAACAATATGTATAGTATGTATAGCAATCGGACTTGCTGTTTTCAACAAGAATTCAAAAATATCACTTTTTACCAAAAAATGACATAAATATTCATCAAAATTAGATAATTGAAGATATCATCACGAAATGAACAAATCTGAGAAAGGTCCACATGTAGTACCCTATATATGTAATATCAAAACAATTAGACTTGTGGTTTTTAACAAGAAGTTGAAAATATCACTTTTTACCAAAAATTACAAATATTCATCAAAATTAGAGAATTTAAGATATCATCATAAAATGAACAAACCTAAGAGAGGTCTACCCAAGGTACATATACACCAAGTATCAAAGCATTCAGGCTTGTAGTTTTCAAGAAGAAGTCGAAAAAGTAAAACATTGACACGAACACCGACGGACAATCACTCATATGATAAGCTCCTCTCGACAAAGTCAACAGCGGAGCTAAAAAATGATGGATTATTGAGTTATTTTTAGTTATGAACAAAAAGACAAAATGTATTGTGTTGATGCACCTGTAGATTGTATACATTGTATCACTAAAAAAAAATGACATTGATCATCTTCACAAGTCAAGATTCATTTATTGGGCCTTTGTCTCACCATTATACCATAATTCCTATAAACTATAGCCCTGTATTCACTGTCGACAAAATCAAACACAGTGGTGCAATGGTAAATAGAACACGACGTTAAGCATTGTGATGAGTTTCCATGAGAAATCAAACGCGAAGCTGTTTTTGTCAGTTACGCTATGGTGTATTACAAGACTAGATGTGAGTTGTTGTTACAAGAACGCTGATTGAAGGATCCAGCTCTTTGGCGTGCCAAATTTAAACATTCAATATAACTGACGTCAAATGCAGCGTTTCCTAACATGGACATAGGATGGCCACAAAATGGTTGACTTCAGCGAAACTGTGCGAATTGGGCGATGACTAAACAGTATGCTATACAAAAAAGGATACAATATATAGGTCATGAAATAACCACACAATACTGTCAAGTAGTACTTGTCTTTATATAATGAGAGAACTTGTCCCAAGCCTTTTGCATCATCTATATTTTGTGGTAATTTGATTTTTTCAGCTTCATGTCTGCAATGAAATAAAACATAATATACTTTATGGGTAAATGCCTCCCTCCCTCTAGATTGCGATCATTTTCGTTACCATGCCATTAAATTTAATCAATGGTAAATAAAAAATTATCTAGGTCGCCAGTTGACAACCTAAGCAAAGTCTGACTGACCACAATTCTCTCAACATAAAACAGAATATACACCTTGTCAACTCTTGGTGGCACACTTCTATGCATTTTACTATAAGCCATATTTAATTATTGTTTTGAACAGGCATACAAGAATTGCTACCATGATATTTCAAATCAGAGTGATAAATTGCGTTTGCAGTAGAACAATTGATTGATTGAAAATGTATCTCATCCTGTCAGTGAATCAGTGTCGGGCGATAATAATACAAAGAGCATTGCATCTGAAATATCAAGATGTTAACATGTTTCTTGTAGAACAATCAGTCAATTGGGGGGGGGGGACTCTTAACCTCTGCAGTGTGACCGAAAGGGGTCCCTTTCCAATTACAATTTTATATGCAATTTGCCTCTAATAGTATTGATCAATTTGCAATTTGGAAAAAAACAGATCAGAAAATAATCAATATATTTGTTACTATGAAATGTACCCCAGCAAAAAGATTGTTTAATTAGCAATTAAGTAATTGCAATATCTAAATATTCTCCCATTTTATTTTGCTCACAGTTTGATTTCAAATCTGCGTCTGGACATATAGTTGAGGTCACATGATCTTAAGTATCAATTCATGTCTAAACTGCATCATGTACACACAGCGAGTGGCACAATTAAAATACTCAGTAAACTTACGATTCTAATTTAGGAAAGCTCCAGTACACTCCACTCATAATAACCACAGCTGATAGAAATATCAAAGCCAGCAGAATAAATGATCTAGTGGAACCTTCGTCTTTGTATTCATAGTTATTACATTGCTTTTCATCTGAAAAACAAAACAACAAACTTCAATTACCAAATGCTAATTATTTTTATTTATAAGATATAGCAAAAATCTATATATATATAATAAATTACAAGTACCGATACAATGTATTTTTAAAGCAAAGAAACTTTTAAAAAATACCTATAGTACATGTACTGTAATAATAATAATTTAAATTATTCTTGCATACACCATTCATAATTATTTTACACCTATGTGTAAAAAAACCACAAGGAGCTGTTGGATACATAAATGAGAGTTTCTGCTAAGTGTAATAGTTTCAGCCATGGTGGCTATTACTACTTTTTCATACACAATTATAACATATTTGATAAATGCTACTACTTTATAGACAACATGTATAACTATATTTACATTGCATGTTTTGAAATGAATCTTTAATAATATAATTTATTTTGACCGTAAACACATTTCTGTCATTTATTTAAGTACATATGCTATTCATAGAGTGGATATATCATGGTACATTTTTCCTGATGTTTCATTTCTGTTGATAGTATTTTAAATGGTGACCAATTTCTCATTCTTTGATTTAGCCACTGGTTGAGAAAGAGAAATTATTGGTTATAGACAATTCATCACTGGTGACTGTAAAAGGGACAATGGGGAAGCCACTTTAGCCGCTAAAAATAAACCTGGGCTCAATTTTGAAAATTTGGGTCAGGGTCAATATTTAAATTGGTCTAAATTAGTCATGCCTGGGCTGAGCCTAATTTCAATCCCCAAATAAGGCTGTCATAATTACAGTATGATAAAACTGACAGGTGGCCTAAATAATGAGATCTTGAGTGTTTGAAAGTTAACCAAAATTTAATCTTGTTTATTGAACAAACAAAATTTGGACAGGCCTTAGTCATGCCATAGAGCACGGTTAGGGTTTAGCATAGAACATGTTAGGTTTTAGTAACCGTGCATAGAGGTAAATGTGACACAGGGTTTAGTCATGTTTAGGCTACATCTATTAACTCAGGAATTTTGTAAATGAAAAATTGCGTATATTTAATCATGTGCGTAATATTCCCATTCCAAAGGCTGCCACAGTAGACACTCAGCCTAAGCTAAGCACTGTACTACACACTAAATACTGTAAAATGACTAATTTTCACTGGGTTTAAATTTCGCTGATTTACCATTTCAGGCATATTCAATGGGTTTTAAATTCACGGTTTATCATTGAGATAATGTGTTCTATGCTAAATTTTACATAGTCACTGGGTTTTAATTTAGCGCATTTTTCAGTCAGCGAAATAAGTGAATAATTAACCCCTTTAAAGTATTAGCCAGGGTCTTGAAAACAGGTTAGATTTAGGATGTACACATAGTTAGCAATTCTGCACATTTTCTCAGCAAAGGCTAAGGTTGTTGACCTCTTTGCACGAAGGAGCTGTATGAGAACACAACTTTTGTTCAATTTACCGGGATATATGTAAACAAATTAATGTTTAGATTACAAAATCAGTAGACACACAGCAACCAGGATGTTAGAAGCATAAAGTTTTATTACCAATAAAATTGAAACTGCCAAGCAAATGCGTAGAGAAGTCAGATCTTGCTACGAAGCATACACTCACACTTCAAATGACATGTCTTGTTTAACTCTGTGCTCTAATAATAGATTAAACTATATAAATATAGAGAAAATACTGGTCAAAGGTATACAGTATTTCTTAGTATGTATATAAAGCATATAAAGCATACATGTATGAGCTTACGTAAATTACAGAGGTGTTTCTATTTGTTAAAATAAGTAATATTTCCAATGATTCAAGTGGGAGGCCCCCCCGAGCGTTGTCACCAGCACACAAGCCGAAATTGAGTCTCAAGCGGCGATAACACCACACGCTAAAAATGCAAAGGCTTGTCATTGGTTAGAAGGATACAATGTACTGACAATCCTTTTTTGTATAGCTTTATTGACATTCACAATCTAAATTGAAGTGTAGAAAACATTATCAATAAAACACTATTCTATTCTATGATAGTCAAAATAAGTTATACATGTATATGCATAGAAGAGAGGAAATCCAGGAGAGGAAGAGGAAGAGGGAGAGGGGGGAACTCGCCTAATTTACATGTATAGTCAAACATGAGTACATTTTGGGGACTTCCAGGTACGAGAAAATGTCTATCAATGTTCAACCCATATAATGTCATTGTGTTACTGTACTATCATGATATGAAACCTTGCCTGGATAAACATAACAATGACAGATCACATTAAAACCATTTATTTATTTACCGTATTACCCCGGGCACGCACCCCTCCATGGGCAAGTGCCCACGCCTGTTTTCACAAAAGTTACATGTTGGGGACATCCTCGGTTAAACGCCCAGGGTGATTTTTAGCCAAGAACGGGGTCAACAATAAAGTTTTATTTGTCAAAAACGAACGCGTTCGATTTATTTAAATAGTGTGTTTGTTACGGTAGTTCTCATTTTGGAGTGTGTGGTAGCCCTGAAAAGGGCCGCTTTGTTTGTGTTTTTACGTAAAAACTCATTGGAACTTAACGACGTAAGATGAACCACGCAGCATGTGGCGCACACGTTCTGCTTTCTCTTCATTCACGATGAATCCAATATTGCAACGATCCATACTTTGGAGAGTGGTTTGAAACACTTAGCTTTGGTTTCAAAACGTAGCATTTCGCTGACTGTGAATCCATAACGGGAGCTAGCACTTTTGAGACATCACGTCGTAAACTTGCAACTTTCTTTTCATCCTTCATCACAGCATGTGGATTATTTTTCTGTCGTTGAAATAAAAACATTTTGCCGACCTGAGGCATGTCGACGATGGGAACTTGTTGCATCATCGTTATTTTTGTAATTTTGTCACGTGTGTGGGTGCGTGAATAAATCATGTTAATGAGGTCGGCCAGAGTTTATTTTCAGTCTGTTATTTATGTATCGCCATTTGGATATGTTTATGTATTCACAATAGTTTGTAAACATTTCACATCAGTAATAAAAGGTTTATTTGTTTCATAACCCTGTCTGCTATTCTTCAGTAATTACGATGCGATGTTACAATACGTGCGTGAACAA